CATTGTGTAAAACAGATAGTGCCAAGAAGGTGAGCAAACATATTAAGAACAGTATGCCATATATGCCAGGTCCCTTGAAACAGCAAGGATGGACCGGCTCCCAGCACACTTCATATTATTATTATTTTTTTAAAACAATTTCTTAGTGGTTTCTTCCTCAGTACTTCAACTGTCCTTTCGTTCTTTTTTTCTCTTTCATGGATGCCATGTTTTGGGAGCTTGTTTAGACCAAGTGAATGGCCTTTTAGGCTTCCTCCACATGAGTAGGAGTCACTTTTTGAGTAATAAGAATGATATATCATAGCGGGCAGGATTTTAGAGATGCTTGGGGGGGCGTGGCCAACAAAAGGTTGGGAACCACCGTTTTAAACTGCTCACTAATATGGGTATGCCTCTACTGTACAATCTATTTGCTTGGCCTGAATACTTACTCCTCCACCTCTAAATGCATGTATGCTATGCATGCGCCTGTGTGGGTGTGGGTGTGATGGGTCTGAGGGGGAGGGGAGGGGCGGGACAGGGAGATAGAAACAGGAGAATTGGTTAAAAAGTCTTTAAAAGGCTGTGAGGCCCGAACTGGTTTGGCTAGGTGAATAGAGCATCGGCCGGCAGACTGAAGGGTTCCAGGTTCGATTCCGTCAAGGGCATGTACCTTGGCTGCGGGCACATCCCCAGTAGGGGGTGTGCAGGAGGCAGCTGATTGATGTTTCTCTCTCATTCAAGTTTCTACCTCTCTATCCCTCTCCCTTCCTCTCTGTAAAAAAAATCAATAAAATATATTAAAAAATAAAAATAAAAGGCTGTGAGACTGTCAGGTCGGCACTCCTACTCTATGCTGCCTGGCTTTCGCCACCTGATGGCTTTCCCCACAAGATCAGCCACTCTGCAGAGGTTAAAACAGGGTCAGTGCATGAGGGGGCACCAAAAGAGCTGATGTGTTAAAAAGCCGCTGACATGAAAGCCTGTGTCGTAAACAGGCTGACATCCCCGGTGCCTCTCCCACACTGAGCTCCCCAAGTGTCGCTAGCCAGCTTCCACCTTCCAGGAGGGCAAGCAGAGGGTCCCCCTCTTCCCCGTGACAAGCTCGGCCTCTTCTACTCACTCCACGGTCATGCCCAGCAGTTAGTTAACACTAGCCCCGCTCACAAAACTTTGTCATTATTTTAATGCTTCATTCTTAAGTAGGAATAGAAAATACCACCATATAAGGAACAAACAGAAACAATATTAGGAGTAAAAGAACATTTCACATAAAATAGTACTTTCAGGCAGCATAGAGGTTATGTATTACACCCATGAAGTAAGAACAGGATATAACAGGAGTTAAAGAGCCAGAGCCCACAGGGCTTTTGGAGATTAGAAATAAGATAGTTGTGGTTATAAGCACAATCTAGTCCAAAGGACAGGATAGAAATAGAAGAATTTTGCCAGAAAGCAGGAGAAAAAAGGTAATAAAGTAACAAACAGGGGAGAAGATGTAAGAAAATGAGTGAAGCACCCTAAGATGGCCAATTCTAAGAGAAAACGATGAAAACAAAGGCGAAGCTGTCAAAGTCACACAATACCCGTCCCGGGACCGAAGGACATGAGTTTCCAGCCGGAGGAGCCAGCACGATCAGTGAACAGGGACGCAACCAGGAGCAGCACTGAAAACTGCACGACACTAAGACCTTCCGTGGAAAAAAACTGTCCCTCACAGCCAGGAACTAGAGTAACACTGGGCTTCTGAACAACACTGGGAACTAGACAATAAGGAAGCAACGCTTTAAAGCTTCTGTCCTGTGTTTGTAACTGAGAATTTTATGTCAACCCAAGCTATCTATCAAGGGTAAGGATATACTGAAGACATTCCAAATATGCAAAATCTCCAAAAAACCCAAAACTCTCCCACACACATTTCTCAGGAAGATATGGAGAAAGTGATTCATCAAATGAGGAAATAAATCAAAAATTAAGATGACACTGGTTTAACCCAGAAGACAAGGGGACCTAAGGAAAGGGCAGGGAAAATTCTCAGGCCAAATTAACACAAGATACTGGAGGCTTCATACAGGACATCGGTGAGAAAAACATTAAACTGGTAAAACACCTAAAATGTTTTAACATACTCAAAGGAGATTTTCATTTCTGCCGGAAGGTCAGGATGTACAAAAAAGAGGAAACAAAACAAATGAAAAGAGAAACAATTATTAACTATTAAAAAACAAGGTTGCCCTGGCCAGTGTTCTCAGCAGTTAGAGTGTCAGCCCACACACTGAAGGTCTCGGGTTCGATCCCCAGTCAAGGGTACACGCCTGGGTTGCAGGTTCAATCCCCGGCCCTGGTAGGGGCGGTGCAGGAGGCAACCAATCGATGTGTCTCTCACATCAATGCTTTTCTCCCCTCTTTTCCCTCTTCCCCCTCTCACTTCCTCCCTTCCACTCTCTCTAAAAAGAACACACCAAAATCAATGGGAAAATTATCCTCGGGTGAGGATTAACAAAAAACAGAAAAAAGCCCCACATACAACAAAGAAATGTAATCTTAGTTCACTATGTGGCTCTGATATAAAATTAGCCACACAGACATAGTAGTAACTGCATATTGATTAAACAAAAAATATGTAACTACTTTGTAAGTACTGGAGTAGGGGAAGAGCATTTGAGCATAAAGAACATTCAGAGCTGAACTCTTATCTCCTCATCTCACTGGCAATAATCTGAACGACTGCTGATAAAAGTAAAAGAAGAAAGTGCCAAAGCAGGACTGTATTTGAACATCAAAAAGACAAAAAATCAGCCTTGACTGGTTTGAATCAGTGGATAGAGCGTCGGCCTGTGGACTCAAGGGTCCAGGTTCGATTCCAGTCAAGGGCATGTGCCTTGGTTGCGGGCACATCCCCAGTGGGAGGTGTGCAGGAGGCAGCTGATCAATGTTTCTCTCCCATCGATGTTTCTGACTCTCTGTCCCTCTCCCTTCCGCTCTATAAAAAAAAATCAATAAAAAAAATATATAAATTTTTTTTAAAAAAAGACAAAAATCATAATCACAGAAGAAATACACTTGTAAGATAGACAATGGACATATCAAAATTGCTACAGACTTTGCTTACTGTGCTCAGACATCAATGCCAATGGAGACTGCAGCCCAGAAGTCAAGAGAGGCTGAGGCTCCAAGGGCACAATGAAGAATTAGGAAAGAGCATTAAGAGCAATGAGGTATCATTAGAGACCAAGGCCAAGGCCACCCCCACCCTCCTATTTCCAATCACTGCGTACGGATGGGAGGCTTGCGGAGTGAATAGGCTGACAGAGAAAAATGGATTCATTGGGAACGTGGCGCTGAGGAGAGCTCTGTGGATACCGTGGACTGCAAGAAAGACAAACAAGTGGGTCCTAGAGCCACTTAAGTCCGAAACATCGCTGGAGGCAAAAATGACAAAACTTCAAGCACATCACAAGGCAGCGGGATTCTTTGGGAAAAAACAACAATGCTGGGAAGAACAGAAGGCAACAGGCAAAGAGGAACAGATATGAGAGAGGCTGATTCCACAGAAGAGGCGCAGACATGGGTCTACAGGAGCTGAGCAGGGCTGGTGAAGACAGGACAACACTCATTCACAGAGTCACCAGGAGTCGACGCTAATATACATGTAATACAAGGCCACTAAATGAGTCCTAAAATTGTATAAATCAAGATATACATGAAAACAACATTATTTAGAAATGGGAATCTCAGAATAACTAACTAAAAGAGCTAAGTAAAATGGGTGGGCAGTGGAAATAAGGAATGGGGAGAGATAGGGCAAAGAACTACTGTTTTTCATTAAAGGCCTAGTTGTTTTTTATGTACAATTTAAAAACCCATATATACATATTTTGATTTCTTTAAAACATGAAATTAAAAAATTTCTACCATGAAAGGCCCTCACACACTCACATATGAGTCTAAGTAAAATTGGGGAACTCTGAACAAGATAGGTGGATTATATCAATGTCAATATCCTGGTTGCAACACTGTAATATAGTTTTGGAGATATTATCATTGAAGGAAACTGAGTAAAGGTTACATAAAATCTCTCGGCATTGTTTCTTTTTTTTAAAAATTGATTTGAGATAGCAAAGGAGAGAGTGATTGAGAAAGGGAGAGAGAGATCAAGACATTGAGAGAAATAGAAAAATCTATGTGAGAGAGAAACATCAACTGTTGTCACATGCCCTCTTGCCACATGCCCTGATCAGGAACTGACCCCAAAACCTGGGTATGTGCCCTGACCGGGAATCAAACCCACCACCTTCTGGTGTACGGAACGATGCTCCAACCAAATGAGCCACCCCGGCCAGGGCTCTGCAACGCTTCTTCAGACTGAGAATCTATAATTACCTCACAATAAAAAGAAGGGAGACCATGAAATAAGTGCTCATTGTTAGAATGATCTGATGTTGTAAATAAATTAAGTAACGCCCGCATTAGTGCCTAAATTCAGAGCTATTCCACTATAAATTCCGAAGATATTTTTTAGAAAGGAACTTTGTAAACTCAAATATAGTATCTATATGGATGAAGGCCCACAAGCAGACACACCAACTTTGGAAAGGAGGAGAAACAAGAAAAGACATGCCCTACTAAATATTAAGACTTACTTTAGCATATATTAAGACATCCCACAAAGCCATTTTAATAAAAATTGACGCATTACAGACAACAAAAAGGAGAGCCCAGAAGCAAACTCGTATGAGCAGCTGGTAGATAGTAGAAATGGCATTACAAATCAGCAGGGAGCAAACAGCTTGGTTAGTAGGTGGTGTGGGGAAAGCTGGCTTTAATATTGAGAAAAGTGAAGTTGGAATTCCAGATCTCCATCTGGAGGAGGAATTCCAGATGGTAAAGTCATAAATGTGAAAGGTAAAATCATGTAACTAATCAAATAAAAAGTAGTAGGAGTATCTTCTCGCCTGAGATGGGGTACGATCTGTTAAACAAGGGTCATGGACAGAAAACCAGAGTTCCCCTTTACTTGGAAGTTTAAATACTTTGGGACCAAGAATATGTTAAAATAAAATGATAGTAAATGTCAGGATGTTGTCATTCTAACAATACTGCTATTAATTAGGTGAGAAACAACACAAGTGATAAGATCTGAATTATTATCGTCAGTATTGGCCCTTAATTTAATGACAGAATCAATCAGAAATTAAGCATACACTAAATGAAATAAAGAACAATTTACAGAAATTTAACAGTAGAGTAGTGATTCTGAGAATCAAAGCGACAAAGTGGAATA